TGTGTGGTATTTACATTTTTATTGCTCAAGTGCAGAGAATTATGCGCTACATTTCTGTAGGATATTTTTATCCACCGAAAGCTGTAGATCAGATTTAAGTAGCAAGAACCTAGTTTATTTAGGTCAATACTTATGGGTTACCAAGTTGAGTCACATACTGTTTTATATAAACAGTTTTATATAAAGACGTGACATTAAGCAGTGTTTAAGCTGTTAAGTGTTCCAAACTCTTCCCAAGCCTTCCAGAGCCTTAGAACTCCCTACAGCCATTAACCATGAATTTGGATAAGCTTTGTCACTACCTGCAGCAGGTACAGCAGTCACCAAGCGCACCAGGCTTACTGGAAGCCACAGGTAGCCGGCAGTTGCAAGATAAGCTGGGAGGTGGGGCGAGGCTGAACAAACACCATCTGTGCTCCGCAGCGCCAGGCTCTGCAGGGAGCACTGCGCAACAGCAGCGAGAGGCGGGGCCGGCAGCGCAGCCCCGGCCCTCCCCGCACGCCGCCCGGCTGCGGCCTCGGCCCCGCGCAGGGTGCCCGGCTCCCGGCCCCTACGCGGGGCACCCGCGGTGGCTCGGCTCGGCCCGGCCTCGGGCTCTTAACGCGCTCCTTCCCGGGGAGGAGATCCACCTGCAAGCCGCCTCCTCCTCTGAGGGAAGGGGGGAAGCCGTCACAGCTTTCGCATCGCCTCCTCCGATCTGCACTGCAGCAGCTCCATTTTGCCTGCAGTACCTCCCACCTCCTATTCCGCCCAGGGCCTGACAAAGAGCCGGAGCTGCCATGGGAAGGTGGGGAAATGCCGCGGGTGCAGCGGCTCCAGCATGCGCAGCCCCTAGAGGTGGTGCTGCATCGCAGTGCGAGCTGCCATGCAGCAACCGCTCCTGCGACCCTCGGCAGCTTCAAGCCTCACCACCACCCGACAGAGCTGGTAGCTAACCACACAGATACCTGCCAAAACTGGGCATTTTTGGTACGCTTAGCTGGTGTTAGGTCTGAATGAGCAGCTTTGTTCCAGCATTAACTGAAGGAACACGAACTAGGAAGGCTAGCAGATAAGAGCTGAAATTATAACGCTTGAGCTTGCTCTGGGAGCAAAGTATCCTGCTTTATCTAGCATGTGCAGCATTGGACAACGTGTCCACAGGTTTAGCCAGTCTGGTCTGTCAAGACCAATACCCATGTAACCACATCCAGAGTGCCACTGCGCCTCCTGGACACACCCATTTCTAGATAGACCTTACTTGAAGATACTCCATTTTTGGTTCTCTACAGATGGCCACAACCAGCACGGCCTTTTGCTGCTAGATTCACCACTCTTTCCTTTACAGCTTGCTGCTTGCATTCACAACTGAAGCGAAGGAACAAATTCAGGCTTCTGTTCACCTGATTTATTTAATTTAAGCAGTTCAAAAAACGCATTAAGGGCCCATCTCTCGTGTTACGCAGTAAGTCCGTAACGATCCAATTCCTTAAAAGCACGTAATGAATGAAAAGAAGTCGATTCCCCTACACTGCATCTTCTTTTAATGCAGAAATAGCAGTAAGTGGTCACTGGCACTGCTTTTGTGAACCGTTCTTTTCGTTACATGTTTCAATATCCCCTTCCTTTAATGAAAAGCTAAGCCTGTACCGTTTATGCTACACTGGAAGGAATTCTCCAATTCCACCGCGTTCTAATTCGACAGAGAACATCAGAACGCTGAGCACACGTTCTGCTAGGCACACCAAACCCTGCTTCACCATGAAAACGCAGTGCCCAACAGGGGAAAACCAAAACCCATTTTAAAAAAAAAACAATATATATTAAAAAAAATAAGCATCCCTCGTTCCAGAGCAGCACAAGAGCGGCTGGGGAGCTCGGCGACAGCCCCGGCGGGGGCAGCTGCCGCAGCGAGGCTCGCTCCCTCCCCTCCCTCCCTCCCCTCAGCAGCAGCAGCACGCCGCCGGCAGCCGCAGTGCGAGCGGGCGCGGCAGCCCAGCATGGCCGGAGCCGGAGCCGTGGGGCAGGAAGCGCCGAGGGCGCGGGGCCGCTGCCGCCGTGGCAGGCTCCGTGCGTGCCCTCCCCCCCCTGCCCCGGGTCCCCTCCCCGGGCGGACCGTTAGCAGCCGTTGTGCCTCCCCCCCCTCCCACCCCCCCCACCCGCAGCCATGGCGCCCGAGCCGAGCGGCCGTTGAGCCGTTTGAATTTTGAATCCGCACCAACGCCCCGCGGCGGGAAGGGAGCCCGGGGCGGGATGCGGCGGCCACCACCGCTCCCTCCTCCGCCCCCCGGCCCCTCACAGCACCCCGCGGCCACCGACCCCCCCTTACCGTGACCCCCCCCACCACCGTTACCAGCCCCCCCCCCCAGCCCCACAGGCGGCCGGGCAGCGCCCCGCAGGACCCCGCAGGACCCCGCAGGACCCCGCAGCGCCCCCCCTCACCCCCCACACGCTCACCATGGTGTCTCGGCCCGGCTGCGGGGTGCGGAGGACGCGGAGGGCTGCACGGGGCGCACGAGCAAGCTGCCCGCTCGACGGCTCGCCTCACACTGAGCTCTGCCCGCCCGCCGCCCCTGCCTCATAAACCGCCTCACCGCCCGCCCGGATCGCTCCGCGCCGCTCCCTCTCCGCCGGGGGAACGGCGCCGCGAAACGAGTCCCGGCTCCCCCCCGCGCTGCCCATGCGGGCCCTCCCGCACCCCCCTCGCCGCCTCCCCGCACCCCCGCGGTGCACCCCGGAGAGGCGAGGAGGGACCGGGGTGTGTGTGTGGGGGGAGCCCCGCTCGCCACGAGGCCGGGCGTGAAGGGAGGGGAGAGGGGAGGGAGGGGGGGGTGAGGGACTACTTTTCCCGGCGGAGGAGGATTCTAGAAAAAAGCCGCGTCGCGCAGGGACTCCGCTGGGCGCGCGCTGATTGGCGGGTTCGTACCTGCAATGCGTCACTGGGACACGCGCAGCCCGGGCCGGCCGCCGCCTCCCCTCCCCCCGCCCGCAGTGCGCGGGGCACGGCCCGGCCCGGCCCGGCCCGAGGGGCAGCGGCACGGGGCGGGACGGGGATGGAGGGGATGGGATGGGATGGGACGGGGCTGGGCACCACGGCACGGCCCGGCTCGGCACAGCCTGCACGGGGAGGGATGGAGGAGGCCTCCCTGCCCTGCCCCTGCGCATGGGGAGCGCAGGGGGTGGCTGCCCCTGAGGCAAAATGGCCGGTCCCGCTGCGGGGTGCGGCGGGGAGGATGCAGCCCGGTGCTCGCCTCACGGGGCTGCCTGCAGGCACACACGGGGACACAGCAAATGGAGCTGAACACGGCCCAAGCAAGGCCGCCCGGCATCCCTGAGGAACACAGCGCTGGGCTGGGGACCGCAATTCACCGTTAAACCTCGTGTCCCCAAGCCTGACTTTGTGACACAAGCCCAAACACAAATTGCCCGTCACCGTGCTGTGAAAGCAGCTCCCACTCCGTGCAGGCATCCCCGAGGTGGCACACGGTGCTTACAGTACAGCTCCCTGTACCCCACAGGCAGGGCAGCAGCTCCCGGGTGGCACAGACACCCTGCTCCTCTGCCGTGGCAGCCCCCGGGGCCCGCAGGCCATATAAACAGGCTGCATGTGAGGGGGAGCTTGGGGGAAAATTCTGTGATTTTTGCCCTCTGAATGTGAACCACAATTCTCGGGCCTGCTCTCTGTGGAGCTGACCCGGTGCCCGCTGGATTGAGGAGCAAAGGAAACCCAGGACAAGTCCTCCTTGCTGGCAGTGTGCGGGGACTCCTCCTCAACCCCAGCGCCTCTCAGCCTCTCCTCCTTACCTTATGGTCATTGAGAACATAGAAAACAACGTTATACTTCAACTTGGCCTCAAGTCTTGAAACCTGAAGTTGCTGTTTTGTGATCCTTCAGCTTTTCAGGCCTCCGTCCCGCTTAAACACGTTCATAGCCTCAAAACCAAGCACATCCCCACCAGCATCCTTTCCAACTCCGGTAACGCTTTTTTAAACGTGTAACACATGCCTAGGTGAGGAAAATACTTTTCAGAGAAAGCAATAAATGCCCACACCATTGCCATGCACGCCTCCTCGCGCCTCTGCAACACAAAACAGCAGCAGTCAGTCCTCCCTCACCTGTGGCCAGCCCGTGCTCCATGCAAGCAGTTTTCCTCCTCCCTGTGCCCCCTGAAGGATTGCTCTGATGTTCCCAACATCTTTGCAGTCCCAGAGGCATGAATCACTGCAGGCAAGTTCTTGACCAAAAAAATCATCACCCCCTCCCTCCCTCCCAGCTCTGGGATAAAAGCGGCATAGCAGCGCTCCGGGTGCATGCATGTCGCACCATCAAATCTGGAGCAGCGCGTTCGTGAGCGCTGGCGCGCCACATGGGCTGGTGCACCTGTGTGGAGCAAAAACAGTCTTCTGTGGAGATCCTAGCGTGGGTCCTGGGAAGGAAAAGGCCACGTGTGCGCCGTGCCATGCCCGATGGATTAAGCCCTGCCTTAGCACCTCTCCTCAACCCCGTGGCAGTGGCTCAGGTACCAGGGCAGCCCAAGCCACAGTGGTGCTCGCATGCTTTGTGTGAACCACATCACAGTTTTTTATGCCTTGATCTCCACCATGTTTTGGAGAGGTGAACCATTGTACATCCAGCTTCACAGGCAGGCTACTTCAGTAACTCAAGGAATTGACTGAAATTAGGTATTTTTGTACAGTGGACCCCAAAAGATTTGCCCAAATGACTGTGGAAGGGCTGTTTGAGACATTGTCTTGTCCGAGCCCTGCTCCTGCAGTCTGCTGCTGGCCATCTCAAGAGCACTGAGGCTATAGGAAACCTTAGGCCCGGGGCTTAAACAAAATGCAGGCTCTTTAATTGTAGCCTGAGGGGCTGCAGTGGAGCCAGGACTTGAATGCAAGTGTTTCACGTCCCGGAGATCCTGGCCACCATAGCATATTTTTTTTTCTGTATGTGTCCTTTAAACTATTGGATATCTGTAATGTATTAAATTATTCATAGTATTCAGTTATATTCAGTTTCCTTTAAAGGTTGAGGAAGTCATGAAGATAATCCTCTTTCTGCCGTATGTTTCCTGTGCCCTCTGGTTCCCCGATCTATTTCTCTCCCCTTTCCCTGTTCTTCTGTGTCTCCTGTTTTCCATCTGCATTTTCCCTCAGCAGCACCCATTTCCTGTGGGTTTCATCGCCACCCCCACCCCGACTCCATCTGTTGCAGAGATCAGCGATGAAGTTCACTTGCAATTACACTCGCAGGGAATTTCGCCAACAGCCACCGCGCGTGAAAAAGCGAACGCCCCGCTGCCAGGAGGGGCAGAGAGGAGAGGTCACCCCACCGCCCAGCAGCAGCCACGGGCAGGTAAAGCTGCAGCTTCCCAGCTCCTGGAGCCGCTGCCCTTCCTCGCAGAGCTGCAGCACAGAGCTGGCACCCCGTGGGTCCGCGTGTGCCACGGGAGGCTCGGAAATGCAGCAGCGGGCTGGGTACAGCTGCAGGCTGCCGGGTGGACACCTCCGGCACAGCAGCCACGCAGCCGGCTGTCACAATGGCCTGGTGTAGTGGGACTTGTTAGTGTGATAATTTCTCGCTCTGGTATGTAATCTAATAGATTTGTCGATGTTTGTGTGCGCTCTGCATTATTTTTTATTTTTTTTTCCACGCAGAAATGCTGCCTTATGTAAGTCCAGTTCCAGGATCGGAGCAACAAATTACAAAAGCAATTTGAGGTAGGAGACTAGGTGAGCTGTATGTGCCAGCAACGTTCACGGGTACTTTATATAGCATATTTAATACTGTGTAAACTCAATTTATTTTCTAGTTTTAATGATGCTTTAATGGACTCAGTGGATTGATGTACACAGAGCACTGTGCAATGGTATAAAACGCTAGAGCTGCCTCCTCAAATTCTGCTATGTCATTTCTATGTAGACCAGAGTAATAAGTTGAACAACCTAATTAGAAATTAATTGCAGTTTTTAAAAGTGAATTTCTCAGGTAAGAAGAAAAAGGTTCTCTGCTGGTAGCGGGTACTTAAACTTAGCATTTATCTACCTGCTGCATATAGAGAGAAAATAGCTTATGGCTGATTTTGTGTAGCAGGTCCAATTTTATTTCAGTTTTGTTTGTAGCAGAGAACCTGCCACCCTGAGAAAGGGCCTCATCTCCAGTCCCAACTTTAAATCACACAGCCGGTGCCGCAGGGATGAAACTAAGGAGCAAATCGATATTTAGCCACTCAGATGTGCTTGGAAGGCCCGTCTAGCCCTCAGCAAGGAAGAACTTCCGTGCTGCGTTCAAAATTTCAAGGTGTTGAATGAGAAGTCCTTCTTCACGGTACCCTGACAGCAAATATTGATCCAACAACCCAGAGTGCAGAGAATTTGCAGGAACTGGGGCGCCTGCTTATCCAGCTAACCGCACCTCACCTGGATGGTAGTAGCCGTTAGGAGAAAATACAGGTCTGTTGACAGCATTAAATGGAAGCCACTGCCTCTGACACAAACCTATTATAGGGGAACAGAGCCAGGGATGCCTCCCAACACCTCAGTTTCAGTAGGACGTGCATAGATTAGAGCACTACATTTAATCTCCAGATGTTCTGAGTCCCAAAGAGAAGGGAATGTGTCAAATGCATTCAGAATATTATGTTGTAATATAGCAGTGTCAATGCTGAAGGCAATGCAGACATATCCGAATTAGCGTTTAAGTGACTCGGATATAGATAGCAAGGCAGCTCTAGCAGCGTGGTGCTTTAACATGAGCCATCAGAGCCCCTAGAGAAGCCATTCAGTTTTGCAGTTAGCGGATACAGAGCTCTGCTCTTGGAATTACATGGCTCCCAACTCGAGGCTGGATGTCATCTTAAAGCTGATTTAGGTGACCTACAGCTGAGTCTTTAACTGGACTGTAACCAAGCACTGAAAGGCAACAAGACAGGAGAGTCCAAAAATGTATGTGGGCACACTCACACAAAACTGAGGGATGCTGGAGGTCAGTGTGAGATCTAGTCAAAGGCTTTAGGCTAAGAGAAGGGGTAGAAAGCTGGTGAGCCTCACAGTCTCTCTTTCACTCTCTCTCTATATGAAACAGATAACAGCTGCTTCCATTTTATGAGGATTTCTGGTGGAACACTGCCCGTCAGCCTACAGTATCTTCTGGACTCCTATGAGGAAAACTTCTGGAATGCAGTCTCTCCTTGGAGATGCAGAATGTGGGAAGGCAGCCTGGGCAGAGGCAGTAGACAATCCCCTTTCTAGCCCGTGTTCTTGAAATACAGGAACTGATGGCCCTCAGCACTCATTATGAGATAGATCTTGCTTTTTTTTTCTGTTTCATTTTCTAAAATACCATAATACGAGAGGAAGCATAGAAAATGTATTTGCTCCAAGGTAACAGAAATGTGCTAATTAGAAATCCCAGTCACTACCTACAGGACAGTTCTGTTTTTCAGGGACTGAAAATAATACAAGACGTGGCATGAAATCCAGGAAGTGGCAGAATGCATTCCAATTTCTCCAGTTTCTGCGAAGACTTATTTTTCTTTCCTTTGAAGAGATCTGAGCGAAAGAGAAAGTCTTCAAGAGTCATCTGCAATCCCACTGGTGGGCCAGAGCACTTCATCCATGGGAAGCCCAGCACAGGCACCAAGTGCACTGCTGCACTGTGCCAGCTGTGAGCCAGTTACATTGCATGCAGGGTGTCTATAGACACCAAGCTGAACTTTCCTCTCCCATGGAGATTCTTTGGTTTGATGAACATAACTGACAAAGTACTGGCAAATACGCAGTGGTTGGAATTTTGTCATTTTCAGTGGGAAAACATACATAAAAAATGCTTTTTCAGCAATCAGACTACACCATTGTTATGGGTCTCTTTCAGTTTGCCTACAGCTGACCCCACACAACACGGAGTAAAGAAAGGATATGAAGATAACGAGCTTGACAAAATGCATCCTAGCAAGTGGTGCTCAAGCCACTGCTTAAACTTCCCTGGGTGTGGGACGGTCAAGAAAGAACTTGGAAATTGTCCATTCTGATGGGAAGAGATGGCCAGAGAAAAGACATGCTTTTCCAGGTCTGAAGACAGCCAGCTTGGGTTGCTTTCTACATGGGAGTTTTTCATTCCAACATTTTTATTTTTATTTTTTAAACTAGCAAACAAAAACACAATAATAGCTAACTCCTATTAAAAAATTACCGGGGGAGTCAAAGCAGTGCTTATAATAAAATTATTGCTACAACCTTAATTAGGGCATGCTGCCAAATACGTTTGTGATGGAAAACAAATCAATATAATGATGCTTTCCCATTACCTTTTGTTTAGGGAATGAAATGTCACCAAATATTTTGCACACGTTGTATTGGAGACCAGGCCGTACAGGCCTGATTTAAAACAGAACATTGAGGGGTTTTGTTTAAAATTGGTGCGGGCGGGCAGACAACTGCTGGAACCAAAGGTTGGAAATGATTTTGTTTCCTAATGACAGCAAAGGATGTGGCACTAATACTTACTGACTGTAAAAGTTTCAAATATAGTACAGAACCTAGACTAAACACGGTATATCTGCTTCCCTTTTTCACCCACATAGGTGGCGTTTCACCTAATCTGAACCTGCTCTGGCAATTCAAGCCATGTCTCCTAGCCCCGTGTTGTAAGGTCCTGCAGGTTCAAGCCGGTTTCTGCCCAGATGCTGGCTGTGGCAGAAGCCCACTGCTGCTGGAGCCCCCAGACCTGCAGCAGGCTGCCTTTCACTGGGTCACATCCCCAGCATCTTATTCATTTTTTCCCTTATCTGCCATCAGGCATAGCTTTCACAGGAGTTTATCCGTGCAAGAGCTGACTAAACACTGAGCAAACAGTTCAGAATTTGGCTGTCTTTTATAAATAATGATTCAAAGGTTTGATTTAGCTACAGACGAACCCGAGCCACAAAAACTGCAGCTGGTTCCTAGCGGCATCAACTCACGCGGCAGAGACTTCTTTCCCCGACACGTTTTATTTCAGCCAGAGCTTGGCCCGAAAGTCTGTGCTTAAAGACAAATTGTGAACCAGAAGCAGACATCAGCACTCGGGGCGCAGCGCGTACCAAGATAGCCCGCAGCCGCATGCCAGCTTGCCACTGACCTTTTATCTGCATAAATAGTTGTGACCTTTGGGCCGCTCAAATTAGTGCTAGCTGCTCAAGCAGTCAAGTATCACAACCCCATCCTGCGCAGGCTGTGTCCCCGTTCCTCTGACCGTTCGCCCTGATGCCTTTGCTGGCCTCCGTGGGCATCCTTGGCTCCAAAGGGCCACCAAAACAGCCTGCTGGAGACAGAAAGAGCTGCCGAAAAACCTGCTGGAGCCTCCGTCTGCCAGCTGAACAGCACAAAGACCAAGGGAAGGGTCTGGCCATCCGCATCTGGGCTGCCACTTTGCTGTAGGGTGCCGTGAGTGCTCACCTGCACTCTTCTTTGAGTATTAGTTCACTGTGTCCTTTAGGAGAAGTCCTAAATGAGTTTTAAAAACAAAAGAAAGAAATTACTACCAAAATAGTTACTTTTTCAGTAAGCCTCAAAACGAGTTAGTTTGCGTAAAACCAGTAGTAGTTCACTACACCACTGATCTCTTTTTCAAATGAAATTCACTTTTTATTCAGTGGACTGTAAGCTGCGTAGGCTTTAATGCACGTTATTTATCAGTAGACCAGAACTACCATGCTCTCTCATGTAAATAAGCATTCAGTTCTAGCTCAAAATGCAGCAGTCGTAACCACAGCAGTTTTATTTATCCTTTTTTAATAGGTATTTGCACAGTTTTACAAGCACATTTTTTTCACATTGCTTAGAAGAGACCCTCTGGCTGCTTAGATGACAACATTGACAAGGCCTAGAAAAAAAAAAAAAAGAAAAAAGAAAAAAAAAAGAGTGGGATACTTTTAAAGATATAAGGCATGAAAAACGTACAATTTTCAAGGTTCTTTAAGAAGATGATGGCACAGACACATTTCAGAGGGAGTTTACTATGTCTAAAGTTTGCTCCAAAGCTCTTTTCTTTCGGTTTCCTTTGACAGGAGCTTTCTTCTCCTCAGCTGTTTCACCCATGGGATAGCAGATTCCAAGAGCGTTTTTCCACCTGATGTACATTGTGTGCGTGATGCTTTAAAAAATTCAGTTGACTCCCCCTATACATTCTGGAGACTTTTTCAGGGGTATCAAGGCAAAGTGTCAGGCAAGTAATGAGAAGGTGCTGATTGCTCTTACCTGTGCCAGCTTTGGACAGGAATAGGAGATTCAGCGGGTTGGGAGGGCAACGTGTTTCGCTTGTCTGATGCCCCAGACTAGCACAAAGCTGCTGAAGCTCAGATGTACGGTTGCTTGCAAACATTGACATCCAGCCGTGGGTTTTATATCCTTCTTTTGTGTTATCTCTTTGAGCAATTCCAACATCTGAAACTTTTAAGAGCTATTTTTTTGCTTTCATTCATTTTTCACTTGTGCTATCCCGGCCTTGCCTGTCCATGGCTGTCCTGGCAGCAAGGCTAGCCCGAGCCACTCGCAGGTAAATAAGGAGTCATCCCGCGTGTTTGCGAAGCATGTTTAACTTGTGTCTTTCATCTGTGATTAATATTAAATCTATTGAGCTACATAAATAAGTAATTCACTTACGGACCTGTCAAACCAATAGTAATTTCTTCCCCTCGGAGCATACAGCTCTGAGCTATCCGTTCTAATTGTTTAATTTCCTTTTGTGTACCTGGAGATAAAAACAGCCTGCGAGGCCGCTTCCACTTGGAGAGGAGGGAGGGCAGCTCAGTCGCCCTCCTCTGCCTCCACCCCGCTGCATACAAGGCCCGCAAATGTCCTTAAAAGCCTCGGGTGGGCAGAAAAGAGCCACCCCGCACACCGCTTCTGGCATGGAGGTTTGTGCATGGGAAGCGGACTCCTGCTCGCCCTTCTGGCTAGGATCACAGCTCTGCAAAATCATCTCCACCAAGAGACTATGGATCTGTTTCTGGTCTCATGCAAATGAAATTAGTGGGATTATGTAAGCATGAAGTCAGGGGCAAATGAGAGGAAACTTGTTTGCTCTTCTGCGTTGACAGGGAGTCGTGCTCCTTAACCACTAACAAGGCAATGCGCTCATAAGAGATGGAGAGCGTGTCGTCAGGCTCCTGGCCTCCCGGGGAACATCCACAGCACCCAGCTCCTGTAGGCATATGGATAGCTTACAGACTGCTCATAGGAATGTGGCCAAAGGATGGCTGGAAAGAAAATAACCCCCACAGGCTGGCAAGTCCCTCAGAGCTAAGGAAAAGGGAGCACTAAACACAGGGGGTCGAAGAGGAAATCCCCTCCTCCCCACCTTGTGCAGGTGGCTACAGCAAAGCTGTAGGGAAGGTTCTCCCTGTAGCCAGGCATCCTTTCCTAAATGCAGTCATGTAGGACCTCTCTTTGGAAGCAACGATTGGAGAGCTTTCCCTCAAACCCCACCCCAGCACCACTGCAGGCTGTGTGCTGTAGGTGGAGGTGGTGGTACTGGGCTGCAGCTCTTCATCTGTGGGAATTTTCCTCCCCCACCATTTGCTGCATATGTAAAGCCCTGCATAAGCCATTGTAGTCTCTGGGATCTGGGGGTGGCGAGAGGAATGGCAGAAATCTTGTAGCAGAGTATATTTAGCTTCCTTCTCCTCCAGGATGCTCCTTCACACCTCGCAGCTCAGCGCATCCAGCCCTGTACCGAGCAGGGGAAATGCAGCAAAACCAGCAGAGCTTTCCACGGCAATGAAGGGGCTTTCAGCAAAGCAGCCTCGACACTGCAAACATAACAGGGACACCCCGCTTATTTAACAAAGGACGTTTTAGCACAATCCATGTGAGGGATGCTAAGTTAGTTCCTAATACTATTTAGCTATGCTGAAAGGCAAGGAAAATGTTACAGCTGTGCAGAAATCAAAAATGGGATCAAGATTACTGGCAACGGGAAGAAATGACATTTGCTAAGCTGCCTTTTGTCCGTGAGGTTTGTTCTTTACTGTTTTTCACTTAACAAGACTGCAGAAGACGTTACTTGTCCTTAAAGAGCACTACTGCATGCAGAGAGGAACCAGACCGTGGTTATCTGCTGAAACCAAAAGCTGACATTTTGAAGTGGACGTTATTCGCTGCAACTGCTCGGACTGAGGCCATTTCACATGGAAACAATTAAGAGGCAGAATGCATATCATAACAAAGGAATGAGTAGAAAGATCAGGAAATAGGAGCAGATTGGATAATTCTCTAAAAATGGATACAGTATTTACTGCTAGTGATTATAACAAACCTAAGCCTCGTCTTACCACAGGAGAGCAGACATGACTGAGCTGTAGATTCTCCTGCGCAACCTCAGAGGAAAAAGGTCAGGTTAATGATTAATTTAAAATTTAGGTCCAGGATGGAAGAAAGTACATCTCATCTCATATGTGTGCAGGATGGAAGGAGGCTGAAAACAATATATTAAAAAGGTGGTCACAGCTGGAAACTACAGAGAAATGAAAAGCAAATGGGAAATCAAAACAATGTAGTGCGTGTGCATTTTTGTAAAAGCGAGGGGGAAATGTAAATGTGCATCAAAGGGCATTCACAGAGATTTGCACATTTGTCTTGATAGCAGTCTAAATGCAACTGGAAGGAAAAAAAAAAAAGGATAAAGAACAAAATCCAGTTTGAAAGAGGTGTGTAGTTGTACATGCAGGAGATAAGGAGGGGAGGGCTTTTCTTACACTATCAGAGAACGCGTGAGGTAATTACTGGAAGGCACATATTGCAATAAGGAATTATGAAACACCATTTAATACTTCTTTCTGGTTGAGTAATTAAACAAACAGTGTATCAGCACTAAACTGTGCGAGATAGATGAGGCACCGCCAGCCATATACAGCCGGAAGCCAGGATGTCCACATCCCTCAGGCCTGAAACAGTCATCTGCATGTATGAGAAAGTTTGGAAATCGCTTTTAGTAGCTATCAACACCGGGTCTCTGAGTGGCATAACTGCCATGCCTGTGTGCTGTGCACACACTCGCACACGGAAGTTCAGTGTACCGCCCCAAATGAGCGATTTAAGTGAAACTCATCCCATTAGGTGACAGCAAACTGCCCTCCAACTCCTCCCTCCTGACCACTGTCTGGGAGACTAATTTCTAGTGCCACTGAAATCAATTTGAGTTTTATGACTGACCTCACTGGAGCCAGGACTTGGCTTAATGTCTTGATGCAAGCAGCTAATGGTTGTGCTGACAACAGCTGGGAACAGGCGCAAGTCAGAGCAGAAACATTTAATGCCTTAGGACAGGGTGAATTTGTACTATCAGCTTACCTGGCAAAGGGGATATCAGGTGTTGAGGCATTCACTCCTGCTCCAACGTCCTGCTTTCCTCCTTAAATACGGAATCGCAGGATGGCTGAAGGACCTCTGGAGGTCACCTGGCCCAACCCTTGCTCAAGCAGGCCACCCAGAGCAGGTTGCCCAGGACCATGTCCAGGAGGCTTCTCCAAGGGGGGAGTCTCCACAGCCTCTCTGGGCAGCCTAAAATAAAGAGCAGTCAGGCATTGGAAGAGGTTCCCCAGGGAGGTGGTGGGGTCACCATCCCTGGGGGTGTTCAAGGCAAGGTTGGATGTGGTGCTTAGGGACATGGTTTAGTGGGTGACATTGGCGGTAGGGGGATGGTTGGACCAGGTGGTCTTGGAGGGATTTACAACCCTAGTGACTGTATGGTTCCTTAGTGGAAGGCATGGAGGCCAAGAGCCGTGCACACTCCAACCCAAATTGGCCAGTACACAGCCGTGGGAGGAAATGTTAAGGGCATGTCTGAGCCTCTGTGGGGGCACAGCAGACCCAGCGCGTTGCCCGTTCTGTAGGCCCGCACCGTCCCCATCCTCAGCTGCCCACAGAGGCTTCTCCAGGCATCAGGCTGCAATCATCCAAGACAACTGCTGAGGTTTCCAGCTGGAAACTTGCACAGTTTCCAGTCCTTTCCTGTTTTTCGGAGCTGCTTTTGCCTAAAGAGTAGTCCATCCGCAGAAATCAGCATCTGCAGAGAGTCATCTTGGGTGCCATTCTAGAAAGAGCTACGTTTGACATAGTTTCTACAGAAGATCCCTTTAAATAGTAAAGCTTTCGCACATTTGTATTCAGAGCTGTTACGATTTTATTTTTAAAGGGAATGTAGGTGTTCGTAAGCCGTGGGCGGGAGACTGACAGCACTAGACCAGAGCTCGCCATTTGCAGAATAACTGCTGCACTGACTACTACACTGCAAACCTCTGGGAGCAAAACGCCAAGGCTCCAGGGGTGTGACAGGCCTGCCCGTCCCTGTGCCTCTTTTTTCTCCTCGTCCTCCCCAAGGGGATCAGCTGCTAAGATGGCCCACGTGTGTGCATGTCCAAACACTGGTGGGAGCAGACACGAGGTTACTGAGCCTTCCAGGCAGAAATTACTTTTCAGCTTTAGCAACGCGTTTGGATTTTGCACTCTGGTGCCACAGAAGTAGCTTTCGGCGTGACATCACACACACTTAACCACATGCCCGGGTCTATTTTTTCTTCATTTGCCAAATGTTTGTTCTTAAAAATAAACAGCTCGGACTCCGAGGCCTGTCCCCATCATTGGGAATATCAAAGGCTCTTACCAGCTACCCCAGGACTGGGAGCTGCCCAAAAGCACGCGTGCTGGTCTCTTAGAGAAATCCCCCCCAGGTAGGCTGTTTTCCATAGCCGAGGTAGCTCCTGCCTCTCAGCATCATTTAACAGGGACTCTGCAGGCCATCACGCTGGGCTGCTGACCCTTTCTCCCATTCCACCCCACTCAGAAACACCTTGTGAAAAATCCTCCATGACAGAACCCTTCTGAACGCCTAAAAAACTCTCTTTATTTCTTACCTGTTCCTTGAGCCACCTGTTCCACACACGATAAAGTCAGTGGTGGTGCCAATACAGCGTAGAGACTTCCCTTTTCTTTAAGTACGCCAGGTATATTACTAAATTAAGTGATTTCGCACATTTTCCTCCCGGACTATAGACATGCAATTTCCTTCAAGCTATTTCTCTGACTCTTCCAGTCCTCATATGCTAATGTGCTTTGGCTTTTGGCTCAAATTATTAGGAAGAATTCTTTTTTAGCCTATATTTTATTTCTTTGCTTTCTCTGAATAATTTAGGGGCTGTTCATCATTTTCTCTCACTGGCTGTAATCTTGTACAGAGAACTCTGAGCGAACTGTGAGCCCAAACACCAGATTCGGGATGCTCTGAAGGCTGCCCTGCAGAGAAGCTGTGTGCAAAATAACAACAGAGCCTCTTGCTGTGAGATCAGCTAAGGCTTCTTGTTCATTCTCCAGGTTTTATGGTAGGATCTTTTGTGATGAGCTGCAGCCCTGCCTTCCCTCTGTTCATTTTTTGAAGCACTTTTGCCATAATCAGTCCTCTGAAGCACCATTCTTTCCTCTGAATTGGCTGAGAATCTGGGTTAGAGTGACTGAACGATGTGACAACAAAGGAGTGATTGTCATCAGGTCCCAAGGATTGGATACGCTGTTGGTTACAAAACGCACTCGGACAGCCCAAGTTGTGTGCCAGATTAATATTTGATGTCATTGGACTTGACTGGCTGTAACTGAAAGAGCTGGAGCCGCTGGTGGGAAAGTGGCCAGCTCCCTTTCACCGAGGAGCGGGGGGCTCACAGAAGCTGACAGCCCGATCTTCCATCCACCCATACGCACTGACCGGTGTGAGCTGTGGCAGTGCAAGTTTCACCACAGTTCCCCACTGACAGGTCAAATTGTCTCTGCACCCCTATGTATGGTGCGTACTTTGTATTGTCAGCAACTACTTTGCATCCAAGAGTTTGGAGGACATCAGTGCATGGCTTGTATTGACAGTAGCTGCTCTCTCCCTCTTCCTCCTCCCTCCCCACTGCTCCTGGTCCCCGTGGTGGCAGCGATAACCCAGTTCCTCTAGGTGAGGTAACACCACCCATACCTGTCCTCATTCAGTAGTATCGAGCGCGTCTGCTCAGTGGCAGGTGCTGAGCTTTGCCGTCAGGGACAGAGACCCACTTGTTGGGTGAGGGGAGGCTTGAAGGGGGAATCTGAAGGCTGCTTGTGTGGGATGACCCCAAACCTTCCAGGCTTCCAGGAGAGGCCCCCAGGCCAGGATCCACGCCACGCATGCCAACACCAGGAGGAGCCCAGCTTGATGCTGCACAGCGCTCTTCTGGTCACTGTGCAGCGCCAGGGAAATGCAGGCGGTCACACTGGAGGGTAGAGTTTGTCCCAAATGACATTCATGTGTTTGCTATCGTTATTTGTTAAGTCATTAAATAACACCTAGGGTACAGTTGTTTAATCTGGCCCTATCTGCATACACAAGGCACCTCTACATAGTCCATGCAGGCATGTAGTCACCCGATATGCTCAGAAATCCTACGTTCCTTCAGATATGTCTTAGAGTTAAATAAAGAGAAGGGAGTTTTAGGCTGCATTATCAAAACTGTCTTAAATGATCCCATTTTGTTTGTCATCTTTTAACTAAATACTGGTAGGCTAATGAGGATCACATGCCAGTGGCACTTCCTTTAAAGCGGGAAAAATAAAAAAAAAAAGGAAGTTGGTGTTGTGGCACACAGATATTCAAAAAATAAATGAAATAAAACTTGGCATTGTAAATGGAAATCAATGGACTGCAAAATTGTATTTGTTCTAGCTGGATAGAGTACTTGCCGAGTTCCAAGCTGTTTGTCCCTAGCTGAGGGGAGGCCGGGTCTGCTCTGCTTGTGCTGCAATTGCACGGCTATTGTGAAATAAGACTTGGATCTTTCCATCTTCAATGCACTTTATGCATCCAAAAGCTATTAATCTCACAATATCCCATGAGACACAAATATTAGCCCTCTTTTACAGAGACAGTGAAAGGAGAGTGGATATTTTGTTGAAATTTTGGGCTCTCAATCTCTTATTCTCTGAAAATTTGACTACGTCTGCCTTAAAATTCTTTCAGTATCTATGAACTGCAGACAGCATAGTACCTGAATAATAATGCTTAACAATAAAGCATTGCAGTGGATGAAGATAGCAGGTATACAGGTGCCCTTGTAATTCCAAGTGACTTCCAGCTGGCTGTGAATTTTAGCTCATGATGCCTGAAAACATTGCTGAGGACCATGTTGTTTCTCATCTGCACTACACTCAGCTTGGCTTCTTTAGTTAAAGTCTGATTCTTGATCTTTTTATAAATCTTAAGAAAACCGTATATGACATGGAACACTGCTAAACTTAAATAGTAGCGTATCACCACAAAGAATTAATTAAAAATATTCCTGTTATGAACAGCCCATTACCACCACGTCTACAATATCTGTTTTTTATCTTCTTCCCTATTCTGCAATGTTGATAATGATGACTATTCATATTATGCACATAAACAATGTTTCTTGTACATTCTCATTGACCTACAGTGCATATAATTACCATAAAAAGCTAACTTGTTAAAAGGATTTTTATCACACAGAGTTGCATTGGTCTAAAACCTTCTAATACTCTTTTCCCACAAATTTCACGGGCACAGTCCTGAGAAATGAAGCTTTGTACTTTCCAAAGACTGTGTTTTTTAAATGTATCACCCTGAGGATGGAAAGCCAGTCAAACATATCTTGAAAGGCTGAAGAAGATTGTTTTCAGGCTGGAGAAGGGACAACTGGACAGGAAGACTGGCAACTAGAGCAAGACCTTCCAGCTCTGACAACAGGATGAAAGCAAAAAAGAGAGACAAGTAAAGCACATCTCAGTCTTTGAAAATTGAACAGGTGATGCTTGATATTAGAACAATGCAGGAAAGGATTAGTAGAGCAAAATACTTTGCTGGCCACAAACTCGGATGTTGAGCCTTTCCGCCCTGTGGCCTTCCAGCAGGCTGTGGCTCCGTCTGCAGGAGGTGCCTGTTCAGCCACCACCAGGACCGTCCTACCAGAGTCCTGTCCTCTAAGACAGTTCTCCAGAAATTTTAACTGTATGGAGTATGCTATGCAAAGCAGTTATCAAAAAATAGATACCAGCTCTGTCCTTGATATTAAATAGGATCATTTGGATTACTGCAATCAAATATGAAAAAATAGCATTCATTACGAATGTGCATTTACATCCCCTCAATTGTAGAATTTATCAGAAGAACATCTCATTTAAAATTAGCATCCTTTAAGACTTAAAAAAATAAATTGATTGGAGAATAATAGCCTATCCAATTCTTTGCTGCTTTGAACTCCTGCATATATTTATTACAGAAGTCTATAATATAAGAACTTTTTCCTCAGAAATACGTAGAATATTATTCTTTTCCACCCGTATCAGTTACACTGCCCAGATCAGTTTGGGGCTGGAGTTATTTGGGGATGGTCCCATTCATGTGAGAACGGTGATGGAGCCAAGGAATTCTTTAAATCAGTGCTCTTGATTAACAAAGAATGCACAGAGCCCTTTTTCCTTGAACAATTAAAACAAAGGGCAATAAAAGTGGGAGTTCTGATTGCCTTTTGAAGTCTTTTGCTTTAAAGCATTGAGCACAAAAATCCTCCTCTCAGCTTTTATTTGGAGTCACACTGCTGGGGGCCCCTCCAGCTAGGTCCAAGCCTTCCTGTCTACCTGTCCTGTTTCTGTTCCACTTCTATCCCACCACAAGAAAATTGCCGCGTTCAGGTTTATCTCTACCTTAATTGGTACCCTAGCCGCTAGCCAAACAACCCTGCTGCTTGATTCAGATTCCTGAAGAACCTTGGGGGAGCCTGTGTAGTGCTAATTGTTTCAGTTATCTGTAAACAAAAGAAAGGTTAATTATTCTCTTCTCATCAAAGGCCAGCATCCATCAGGAACACCAGCCCCAGCCCACAGGATATGCCAAATACTTTCAGAACCCCCTTGAACTCAATCATCATCATTTCAATTGCTGCTCCACCACTACTGCTGCTCCCCAAGGTGGTTGCCTGCAAGCTGGGGCTGGGGTATGGGTTCACCCAGCACCAGGGGCTGCCGCACAGCTTGTACACCCTGCTGTCGTGTCCAGACGCTGCTTTTCAGACTGAGGGCTGTTAGGCCATGAGGACCTATCTAGGGCTTGACTTTGCTGCTTATGCTGTTATCTCTGCTATGAACTAATGTCATCTGTGATGGCTTTTCCTCTGTCTACAGCTTCCTGATGTGCATAGTTAGACATAAGATTGGAAATGCTGTTAAACATGAACATAGCTAAGACTCCTCAGTCCTGGGCCACATTATGCCTGCCATGAACTTGTCCATGCCTGAACACTGCCACCCTTGCACTGTGCTGTCCAGACTGGGAGGCACAAAGCTTTCTATTGCCCCATGAACTAACATGGAATTTATTTTCTTCGTTAGAGGCCATGTAGAGGGAAACAATCGTTTTTATGGTTAAAAAAAATGAAAAGTTATCTACAAAATATGGACAAGCACTGTCAGTCAGCATAAAATGTCCATAGAGTACATGCTGAAGCACAGGCAGATCATTTCTTAGGTATCATAATCCTTCTTTTTGTCCTTTTTGGCTCAACGGTTTCTTACTCAGTTCCACGTCTGTTGGCAAACAAATTTTCCTTCTATTTCAGAGGAAATGTGCTGAATCACAGACTACAGGCCGGTCACTCCAAGGACGCCAACTGATATTTGTATGGCAGGCTAAAACAAGTGACCTTTGGCCCTAATACAAGCAAAAGCCAACCATATGTACACTATACATACACATACAGAGCGTGGAAAAAAAAAAAAAAAAAGTAAAAGTAAAAGCCTAAGCCACACCACTGTAAAGATTATAAGTAACCAAGCAGAACAAAGGTCTAGCCCTAAATGCTAAAGATCAGTGTAACTTTTTATTATTGCTGATAACACACCGTGCCCCATTGTTAGGCTGAGAACTTTTTACAGCCCAACAAAAGCTAACAACCCTCTTTTATGTGGCACATCTCAAAAAAAAAAGTGAGAAAGTGCTCTACAAATATCATTACCTCCATTCTCAGGAAGGAAAGCTGAGCAGCAGAGGTAACTTAACTTGCTTAAGGTGCTTTGCTTACATACTGCCCGTGTTCCAGCCCAGAAATCAGAAACAATGATGGAAAGGCCAGCCTTGCTTTATGGGCGCCCTGTTTATAGCAGAAACATTTCCTGAGCACTGCAGACACTAATTCAGCCCCACCGGCTGTGCTAAAGGTGCCTGCGGCAGCCAGGGCCTGGGAGCACGGCGCGTGGAGGAGCCGGCGCATCGCCAGCTGGGTGTGAAATTACAGCACCGCCGCTGCTTCCAGGAGGGGACATGAGCCACACCGGTGGGCAGGGAGGCTGAGGAAGGCCAGGTTGGGAAGGCAGCAGGGAGAGGGTGTTTGCTGAGTGCACGGCTGTTCGGCAACGCTGGCTGCTGCACCCATCCTGTGCTCATGGGCCTGCAATGCAGGGCAGGAGGCAGCATGGCACCGGCCAGCCTGTGGGGTGGGTGGGGGCACCAAAAGGAGGTGGACCCAGCAGGACAGCTCTGTGCCCACTGCCCTGCTCCCAGTTGCTCTGGGAAGTGGGCACATGACGCCATGCCCTTTTGGTTTGGTTGAACATGAAGCTCGTGGAGCCATTAAATGAGCACGCTGAGCCGGGGATGGGCTCCTGTTTGTAGTGCCAGCCTGACCCTTTGAGGGACACGGAATCCGTTCAGAAGAAGCCTCATGGTGCAAGGGCTGTGGGTGCTGCCCACTCTGCCTGCTGGACCAGGCCCTGGCATCCCTCACAACCCCAAGGAGTGGCGATGGCGGCTGCTGCCACCAGGCCCTCCGCGGGATCTCTTGCCCTTCTGTTCTACACGTGCAGAGAGGGAACGACCTCTCAGAATAACTCATTAACCCTAATTACTGCCCGTTCTTATCTAGCTCTGCTGGCAAGTCGCACCAATGGCCCTGCAGGAAGACTTTGAGAGCCCAGCAAAGGTTCCTCTGCGTGGCTTCCTGGCCTCGCTGGACACCTGCCAGCACTCAGACCATGGTTTGGCCAAGCACAAGGCTCACCTCTCTGACGAGGCTCCTTGGTCTGCCTCTGCTTTTGCCCCATACGAATCGTGAGCTGTGATTTCCAGGTTTAAATCCCAGCACCGTTTACTGCAGCCAGCTACCCCTCGGCCTGCCTTTTAGGCGGGGAAAGCAAAAGCAGTTCGCCTCCCGACAAGGATGTATGTGGCATGTGCATCTCCATGTTGTCATGGAGATGCCATGGGATACATCGCCAGGTTTTGCTGGTTGGGTTTCTTCTGCATCACACATTTGTACAGAAATGACGTTTTCACTGAAATACAGTATCCAACATTTCCCAGAGCATAAGTGGGACATAGATCTGTGTCAGATCAGATCAGGTCACCTCATTCACGGCAACTTGCATGGGCCTTACTTTTTATTTTCCACTTACACTGCTCCCGATTTCATACCCACATAGCATCACTGAGTTCAGAGAATTAAATGAATCTAAAGTAATGGAGGGGGAAAAGAAGAAGGCCATATGCTTTGAAAGCAAAAATGCAAAAACGTGAGATGGCAGAATATAGCGAAATTTTGCAAATACAGTGGGCCTGGAGTAATCAATCAGGGGCTAGAATTGCCCTTAAGGGCTAGCCTTAGACATCTAAAATCTCCATAATTTTCCACCTGTACCTGATGTTTTTAAGGTGAGTAGTTCTATTTCTTGTGTCCATCTCTCTTTTTTTTTTTTTCCTAGTAATATCCTCATAAATTTAATAACATATTTTCAGAGAAAATATTTTTTTAATCATTTAAAAGGAGAAAGAATTTTCCATTTCTAAATTATACCTTGTCCATAAAAGACAAATCACATGGCCAATGGAGATCACATTCCCAATAGTGTAGTCAAGGCCTGTAATCAAACCAGCCAAGATCCTATGTACCTGATAATTATGTAATCAGAAGCAAACTCCAGAAGCCAGCACCAGCTCACAGCCTTCAGACCATCTTCAATTTGAGCACTGTTATAAAAATATCACCTTTGTCTTCCTACATAACATGCTTACGGGATAAGCTTTTCTTTCTGTCTTTCCACACAGCTAAACCTCTCACCTATCCAAGCTCTGATCTAATTGTGCTCAATATATATATTTTAATTGTGCTTGGTAGTGATCATCAGCTGTTGGCCTCCTTATGAAGTTATTCAGGTTTGAGATTACTCTGGAGGACCTGCTGCGTTTTCATACCACTGCTACTGCAGATCCACTGACTGAGAAAAGCTCCCTTGTGCCTGTTGACATGAATAATCCCCAGCATTTTTAATATAGGCTGCCTTTGCCAGTTGGCTGACACTTGTGCTATGCCGTGAATAAAAGCTATTTGATGACAGTTGAAAAATGGATGTGAGACACTTGCTGCTATATTCCCTCTGCTGTATGGGAGCTATTCCCTATTGTTTATCATGTGAAGGAATGCAAAGATGCTAAAGGCAACTTGAACGCAACCAGGGGTAACATGACAGTGCAAGGCAGAAGAGGGAAGTGAGGCCCAAACCCCATTCCAATAGCCTGCTACTTATTTACATTCCTCAACAGCTTTGGTGCCTATAGGAACTTTAGATCTCTATAAATAATGTGTGTTTTAATGTCTTTACCTAGCCAAAGTGTGCCTTCACATCAATGTAGAAAAGATTCCTCTTTTTCTGTTTGAAAGTTTAGAGTTTTTGTTGTGCCATGTAAGCAACAGGATTAATAACACACGGTCACTTACCAGCAGCTGCTGCTCTTCAGGAGACCCATTTGTGTCTGTGGGGCGTGCACCACTGGAGAACCACAAATCCCTGGGGTGAAGAACATGCACCCCAGGAACATCACACGGGATGGCAGCTCAGGCACCTCTGCACAAGTACCTGCAGGGTGTTACTGCTAGCCAGGGAGACAAAGATAGGGATTGAAGTCAGACTCAACAGAGCGAGGGAGAGAATGTTTGGCTAGTAGAAAATGGAGACGGAGACCCAGGTGTCAGAGGAGCATGAAGACGAAAGCAACATGGAATAATCTAAAAGCAAGACAAAATAAGTAGGAAGGAGGGATGACTGAAAAACAGACAGGAAAAGGAGCAGGAGGAGGGAGATCAAAGATAAAGTTGCTGAGGGCCTTGGAGGGTAAGATGGAGAAGTTTCACTGGAGGCTGAGGGAGATGTGACATGGTTGGGATAGGAGAGATGGGATGGTGCATCACAGCTGTGGGATGTTTAGCAGGAGACTTCTGAGCAAACCGGGGGGAAGAAAGCATGAGGAGGAGAGGGAGATCAGGTGGCTGCAGCGTGAATAGGTGTGGCGTGGGAGGAGTCTTCTGAAGATGGATAGTAAGAGAAAGGTGGATTTTAAAGAAGATTTAACACATCCTAATACCTTAGGAGACAAAGCTTACAGATAACCCATGAAAGCCCTTTCATAAAAATAAAATAAGAAACCACAACAAATTTTAAAGGATTAACAGGAGGAGAGAGCACACCATATACTCAGCAGCCAAAAGTCCTTTAAAAAAAAAAACCAACAGTGAACTGCAAAAGATATCAACAAGAAAATGGCCCTTTTCTACAAGCAGAGCATTCACTTGATTGCAGACCACACTGATCCTTGCCCTGGGTTTTGCATGTATTGATAAGGAATAATAAGCAGACTTTCAAGTCACTTTGAGTTTTCTCTCCTGCTCAGGTCATTACCAAAGCTTTTTCTGAAAGCCTCCCCCTTATCATCAGCTCAGAGCTGGAGCTGGCACAGCACACCTGCCCTAATGACTCACTGCTAACAACCCTGCACCTTCGATATAAAGTTTCAAGCACCTGAAGTCAGCACAATGTGGGTGAGCTCTGCAGCATCTGCAGGCAGGCTTGGGTTTCGCTGAGCACTCAGCTGCTCCAGGTGCTGAGGCTTCACGCGAGGAGAGGTGGGATCGTGATCCCACCACCTTCGTAGCCAGCTCTGCGACAGCCAGGCCTGTTTTCTCCAGCAAATGGATGAGCCAAGAATCGGCACAAAACCAGCCAAAATGGCATGAGAAACATTGAAAGGAGAAAAGAATTTCTTTCCTCCCAAAAGAGGGGAAAAAAACGGTGTGCACACATAGACCTGGTGATTGCAAGGTGAGATCCAGTGACAGCATGAATCCGCAATCTCCAGATGACATGTCAGGGAAAAACACTTTGGAAAGCTCTGTTCCCAGATCGGCTTTGGGGATGTGTGAGTAACAGCAAGAGGCCATAATAATTATTTTTTTAAATGTCACTTTAAGCACAGTTTTCTCCTGATTATCACTAGAGCACATTCCTGGCACAAAGTGCCTTTGTACAGTATATCTTCATAGTATCTGAAGCTAGCACTCAGCTCCAGGCAAGGATGTTAAAAAACAGTGTATCATTTTGCTCTCGCAAGGGAGAATCTAACAATTTGGCCATCTGCTGCATTCCACACCAATGACAGCTCGTGCTTGTGTTTGGTGATAGAGCTGGGGCTGGCAATGCAGTAGCAGCCCTTCCTCCCTGCCCTCCTCCAGCCTCAGCCGCGGTACCCATCGCCACGGCGCCACAGCTCCTCTCATGCCCTTCCCACCAGAGGAAGGTTTCCCTCTTCACCTGAAGATGGATGAGCTGCTGTGCTCATCCTGCTGCCTGATCATGCCCTGTGGCTGCTCCCTGCCCCTCTTGGCTTGCCCCAGCTTTGTCTTGCTTGGGCCATCGCCACTGCACACTTTGTAGGGCTACAAAGTTGATGAAGGATCTGGAGGGGAAGGCATATGAGGAGCAGCTGAGGGCCCTTGGTTTGCTCAGCCCCGAGCAGAGCAGGCTGAGGGGAGGCCTCATGGCAGCCTGCAGCTCCCTCACGAGGGGAGCGGAGGGGCAGGCGCTGAGCTCTGCTCTCTGGGGACAGCGACAGGACCCGAGGGGACAGCATGGAGCTGGGACAGGGGAGGGTCAGGCTGGGGGTTAGGGAAAGGGTCTGCACCCAGAGGTGGTCGGGCACTGGGACAGGCTGCCCAGGGCAGTGGGCACAGCACTGAGCTGCTGGAGCTCAAGGAGTGTTTGGAAAACACTCTCAGACATCTGGCTTCATTTTTGGGTGAACCTATGTGGATCCAGGAGTTGAACTTGACGACCCTTGTGTGTCCGTTCCAACTCAGGATATTTTATGACTCTGTGAGTCTTTGATTCTGTACCTGAGGTAGGGATGCTGCAGAGGATGAAGCTGAAGCTGTAGGTCCTGGTGAAACGATGCCCATTCCCACATCGTGGCAAGTGGTCACAGTCAGAAGAGAGCTGCTCCTGCCTCCTTTCATGTAGCCTGAGCCTTCTTGGGACAAATCTGGTTCAGAGAAGATTGAGAAAGCAATCATTTGGCCACACTGTTTTTATCCTTCCTGCACACGTGACGAGAGGATCTCACAATGTTACATCTCTACAAAAAACTGCCCCCTGGCATGGAGATACCCACCCTACCTTGCAGTGCAATGGTCAGCTCTGGTGGTGAGGAGCTTGCCAGGAGCTCACCCCAGCTGGGTGAATTTGCACCTTCAACAGAGGGGCTGCTTCTTCACCATGCAGACACATCTGTACAACCTTGCTGTGCAGGTGGCTGAGCCCAGAGAGGCTGCAGAGTCACCCCCCTGGGAGATTTTCCAAAGCTGCTTGGACGTGGTCCTGAGCAACCTTCTGTCGGTGGCCCTGCTTGAGCAGGGGTTGGACCAGGGGACCTCCAGAGGGCCTTTCCCACCTCTGCTGCAGCCCAGAATCTCCCAGAAGAGCCCATGCAAACCAAATCGACGTCCCCAGCCCCTGGGCAGCCAGCTAGCTCCTCCTGAGTGCTCCCTGTGCAGCACGAGCACCACGGCTTGCCCACCACAGCTGTGTGGGGCTGCAGGTCCTCCCTTACCCTTCCCAGCCTGCGTGCCCAGCCCTGCTGCACCACAGTGGAGTGACATGTATCAGGCTCCTTCCTCATTCCTTCCACATCTCCCAAAAAGACAGCTCTCAGCTGCTGCTGGGGGGTGACAAGCCTGACTCACAAGGGCTTGCTTTCTTTGAAGAAAGATGGATGTTTCTGAAGGTCATAATTTTTCTGGCTCTAACGTTCATAGTCCTGTGATAGTCATGTTCAGCATCTGAGTTACTACAGCACACAAATCGTATTCGTGGCATCCTCGGCGGCCGAGTGCCAAGCTGGGAGCAGATAAACACATTGCACACGGTTTTTAAGCCACAGAGATCCAGAGCAGCTCTGTGCTCTCCGACACAGCGATTTGCCTTCTTTTGGCACGAGAAACATGTTTAGCTGGTGTTCAACAGGAACTGAAGACCCAGGCACGAGAAGGCAGACCTTGGGCTTAGCTTCACAGCCACTTTTGCTCTGATAGTTTTGCAGAGATCTACATATTCATGCACGCTAATTAGCATGTGTTTCTTTAAGAGCACTTGCTCTCTTAGCGCTGATCCCTGCCGAGCACAGCAGCATTCGGGATGAATTCACCTCGGTGCAGGGGTCTCCGCGGGGCCAGCTCAGTCCATTTCGGTGAACCGTGCTCGGCAGCAGTGTCTCTCCAGCCTGGGTAGAGCTGTGAGGTCGGGGAAGTGGTCCGGGTTGGTGGAGACAATGCTCTGCTCATCATGGGGAAGAGGACGCGCGTGCTGCCAGGCAACCAGCTCTGCAGCACTTGTACCAATGGCTGCGAGCACCTCTGCAGAGGCAGATCTTCTGCAGGAGCATCCAACCCAGGGCTGCTGGGGGCCCCAGTGCTGCCCAGAGCCTGGGGGACACGCAGCAGCCACGCAAGGAGACAGGGCTGTATCTCCCCCCTTGCCTGCCAGGGAGCAGGGCAGGGAAATGGGTCCTTTTTTTCCTTCCCCCCCAAAAAATTGCCCAGTGTCCACCATACCGATGGGGACTTTGCAGCCCTGGTGTTGGTCAGTGCTGCTCAGGAACAGGTCCTTGCTGCCCCGCATGTGGGGAGGAGCTGCAGCTTTGGCTCGTGGCTCCGATGGGAGGGATGTCCAATGCTCTGGTCTTCATCTGGGTCTTGGATTTCTCTCCCCAAGCCCTGCTGCGATCTGCCACACGCGGCTTGACAACTGAGGATGGAACAGATTTTGCTGGTGACAGATATGCATACGTGTAAACATTCCTGTATACATATGCATGAAAAACTCATTCAGTAGGAATAGGTAAAACTACCTTAGGGTGTGCAAAACAGCAGTGCCATCCACTGCAAGCATTCCCCTCGCTTACTCATTTTGATGAACTGCTTTGATTCCTCCCAGCCTCTCACTCCAGGAATATTCTTGCAGAAACAACGCAGAGGTCTCCCTATTAGGAGCTGCAAGAAGTTCCCTTGCGGTGATAATTAGGCCTCTGCTATTTCGTATCTCCCGGGGAAATGTTTATGTGGTTTCTCATTCAGCTTTTATTTTACAGCTTACGGGTAGATACCTACAGTGTCGAGGAATAAATCCTGCTTTCTCCTTCCTGGGCAGGGCTTGGCCATAGGAACAGTGGGATGGACATAAGTTACTCAGAGACACGCAGATGACATGCACTCTCGACACTTCGTGCCGCTCAGACCCTAGAAATACCAATGCGAGGTGAGAGCAGGTGAAGAGAAAGGCAAGACCAGATAATTTATTGCAGCTCCCCCCTATGGCAGTTACAGATAAATCTCCGGGGATGAAATAATGTTTGCAGAAGAAGTTTGAAGCTGGGGGATAGGGATCACGTCCCTTCCTGATCCCAGGAGCAATTTAATTGCAGTGACAGAGGCACTACAGCAGTAGCAAAGCACCATTCAGAAACAGCATTTGTGCCTAAAACACCCCCTAATTTCCCCAAATTTCATACCTTGGGCCTCTCATGAGACCAGTGGCACGGCTTGACCAAGCCTTCAGCAGTGCAAGCAGCCTGCAGCAGGGCACAGCCTCCGATACCCCCATGCACAGCACTGCCTGATGCTCCTGCCAACCTTTTATTCCCTCGAGGAAACAGAAGGGGTGCAGAGAGTACATCAGCGCCCCACAGCCCCATACAGAAGCTTGCTCTTTGAAGTACCCCTGCTAAGGGGAGCATGGAAAAGCCATGAGAAGAAACGCCAGGAAGGATTACTACACAGAGGTGCAAAGCAAGGCTTTAGGCTCCTGCCTCTGCCTCCCGTCAGTCCTAAGGAGAGCTGGGGGTGAGCTCGAGGGCTGTAAGGCAAACCGGGTCTCGCCCTGGCAATAGGGAGTGCCACCAGTAGGCCACTGGGCTGGCCTGGGAACTGCTTTTTTTAGCAGGGTGACAATACCTGACTCTGACAGCCAGCGTGCTGCTTTGTGTATGCGTAATTTGCTGCGATCACGTTATAAATCAAGATGAGACTGCTAAAATTATGTATGACCTCATTTGATAGATTATCTAATAAGGAATTTGCTAATGCAGTTTATCACTTAAAAAGCTATACGACTGCTAAGGATGAGTACTTTGCTGCAGCACATTTAAACCTAATTGTCAGAGGAGAAAAGCAAGCGGATTTCAGAGGTGAGTTAGAAGAGCATCCTTATGAGGATGATGTCTTCACTAAATCAGTGGTGCAATGCAGCAAGCAGGGTGGAAAGGACTCTCCTCTGGATAAAGGTACAGAAAGCTGCTAGACGAGGCTGTGCTGTGCGAGCATACTGCATGGAGCCACTGACCAGGAGAGCCTTCCTACCTGTAAATACTTGTATCCTAATGGGCATGCTTGTTTTTATTGTTTGATCTAACGCTGTCTTTTATTGCTATAACATTTCAGTGCTGTTTCCCTGTCTTGCGAGCAGATCTAAAATCCCTGGTACGTTGAAAGAAACTATCTGCCTAGACCTTTAGCTCTAACTAGCTATTCTGGTTATTGTGCTTGTCAGAATGAAAAGAGTAATTGTTTTGCTGCTATATGTTACCATCCAATATTTTTGTTCTTCCAGTCCTGTGACTCATTTAAAAAGACTGAACATCACTTCCACATACACAAACAGAGCTGTAAAGCAGCTCAAGCCAATGAAACAAAGCTTGTTTTGCAGGTTTGTTAACCAAGTATTCTGTTCCAATCCCAGATTTATGATTAATATAGATGCCATTTTATTTCCTGATGATTTTATAAAGCTCATTCTGGGGTCTGAATGCCTGCCTGCATTCCCTGGATGGATGATGCTGTTCAAAGCCTCTGAGATAAACATTAAACCTGCTCACAACTCTGTGTGTGTGGGGAGGGGGAGGTGTTAGAAAAGTGACGATTTTGAGCTCCATTTTAGGCTTGGGCAAAACAAGGTGGAGACACGAAAGAGCTTACAAGAGGCCATGCAGAAAATCGTTACCAGAGCCAAGGCTGAAACTCTGCCTGCCCCAGTCCCCATCTTGGCTGCTGGCTCCCTGGAACAAAGCTGGCAAATGTCCCCTGCCTACCCCCGAGTACATCCTGCTGCATTTGCAAACCTGCCCTAAAGGTGGAGCTTGTTCTTTTTCATGGGTAATCGTTTTTTGGCAGAGATGGGGCAATCGGACATTGCTTTACAAAAACTAGGACGTGATCATTGGCAGAATCAGGCAGTAGGGAAATTTCATGGAGTGCTACTGAGTCAATGCAGTAGGGGAAACCTCCACATTGACTTGAGTGAGTAACCAACGCTTTGGGATTGTGCAGGAGCTACCGGTGTCACAAGAAAAGCAGAGACACCCCCAAAGCATCATAAATCCCAGGGACAGGGACAAGTAGAGGAAGGAGGATATTTCGGAGTCAGAAATGAGAATCACGTAGGGGGAATCCCCATGCCATTTGCACAGGAGGCCCACCTAAATATTATTACGCCTCTGTTAATAACACAGTCCCAGTTGGGCCGCTGGGACTGCTCCTGAGAGAACTGGAGCCTGCGTTTCTGCGTGAGCACACAAAACACAGCTGTGTGTCTACATCTGACTGTGATGATTTATCTACAGAGAAAAACACAAAGTAACGGCAATATCGTCATAATGCCTCATTAAATGGCCGAGCTCTAAATCGGGGGAGCCACTTGAGGGGTAAGAGCATGGTTCATCACCGTGCCACGTCACCCTTTGTGGTTGCCCCCACTGACGTTAAATGGTGCAAACTGAGCCGGTGGATTTACACTGAAGACATCTCTGCAATAAGCTGGACTCGGGGCACCTGCTCACTCACCCTAGACTCTGAAATAACCCCTCAGTTATAATTTTCGGTCACAGTTGACATGGTTTAGACAAAAGTTTCATCATAAAGCCCTCATCAGTCATTCCTTGAGCCATCCAGTTTCACAAGCCCTTACCGCTGCCTAGATAAAATCTGGCTGTCAGTAACACGTCTCAGGGACCTGCCAGTCGCCCTGCGATGCAGCCTGTGGTGGCCAGGCCAAACCAGCTCCTCTGCATTTTATCTCCTCGCTGCCATCTCCACAGCAAAGTGCAGGCAGCTCTTCTGAGCCCATTGTTGCAATTAAAGTCCACTGGATATGGTGATGAACCTCATTTAAGACCAACAGAGAACAAAGAAAACATATGAAGGCCCCAAGCCTGTGCCTTTGAAGTTTAACACTTTTTTTCCCCAATGCACATCTATTTAAAACACATGTTTTTCACTCCCACTGGGCAGTAAACCTTGCCATGTAGCTGCATGTACTATGCCTGGGCACACGGTTAGCAGTACGCTATGAACCTACACAGGTCACAAAATAGCACTTAGTCAAATTTTCCTTAAAGTGCCACCTATGGGGCCAAAAATATCCTCCAGAAGACTTTGGAAACGCATGTTCAGGTTTCACAGAGTGATTTCACAGAGCGCAGGAGAAGAGCAGGGCCACAGCCATCTCCGAGGACCACTGAGGACCACGCTCCTATGCTCCTTCAGAGGATGGAAATCCCACCCCAGCACGCGTTCTCGGGGATCATACGGGAGATCTGCAGCTGAGTCACCGTTAAATAGCAGTGCAGAAATTTCCAAGGCTGTAAGCAGCAAAGTTTCGCAGACATCCCATTACGTTCGACTTACATAAGCGGAGTACTTAGCTGCTCAGATAATACAGCGATAGAGCTTTGTGAAATTAAAAAAGAAAATGCCTCTCTGAGTTAGCACGATAGCTGGGATCGAATTACAGCGCTCCAGAAATCTGTGAAGTCAGTCCCATTTCCTTCTAGGCTTTATCGGGCATTTCCTAGAGGGCCTCACTGCAGCAAAGACGGGACCTATAGCCCTGACATCACTTACACTGAACTTTGACTCCTCAAAACTTTATCTTGCTTTTGGAAACAGAAGCCTCGGGTGACTCAGAGCTACAAAAGGGCAACGGTTGGGGTTCAGGCAGCAGCCTGAAGACGTCTGTTTTCTTCCTGCTGAACTGTGAAACTTGTGTTAACTTCAGCGGGGATTCTTACTTTCCCCTGCATGTAGCAATAACATTTTGCAAAAGGCAGGCAGCTATTATCGCCAAATGCCCCGAAGATAAACCCAGGCGTCTTGCACAAGTCTCTGCAGCAAGGAACTGCAGCTAGGGTGGCGGAGTGATGATATAAGCATGTTATACCTAGAAATATTTCTCCTCTAATCACAAATTTGGGGGTTTATCTATGTTACATAAAGTACCAAGGAGTTAGATCCTCCGCTGGCTTAAGTCACAGCTCTGAAGGCACACAGAATTATGCTGATTTGTATTAGATGATCACATATTTGAAAAACATATTTGGCCTAGATGGCTGATAGACTCTCAGCGAGGCTCTCTAGAGGAAGATAAAGGGAGTAGAAAGAAATAAGCCCTTTTAGAAAATAATACTCTCATGCTTTAGTAAGAAATACACCTTACCCAGTGAAAAACGCACGCTGCTTTCATACGTACAAGATATTTTATCCTCTAATAAAACACCAACTTGCGATCCAGAAGCAGGATGTGCAGCCATACAAACAACACAAAGGGGTGCTTACTCCAGAAGTGTTTCCCTTGCACTGTTCCTGGTAGCTTCGCCTGCTTTCAAAAGAAGTAGCACCTCTGGTGGCTCAGGCTCCGAGCAGGTTATCCGAGGACTCTTTTTTAAGTACCAGTTTACTTAGAGGTGTGATTTATCACGAAGGCAGACTATGCAAATGAACATACAATAAACTTCTGCAGTTCCACATTTTTTCCACTCCAGAGATTCCTCTCCCGTTGCCTGACCCTTTGGTGCAAAACGCAAGAGCAGCTTTGAAGCTGGTATGTAAACTTCACATGCCAGACAGAGGGAATGCTGAGGACATCCGTAGCTGAACAGTTTCCATGACGGGAAAAGACCACATTCATGTCAGGGTGGAAAATTTGGTTTACCAGCAGTCAGGCCATTTGCTGTGGAATAATTCATTGGCCACTGGCAGCGAGCAGTGACTGCTTTACGTTGTGCAACTGTCCTTTGGCAAGCACGGGCATCCAGCTCCCACAGCCCCACGCAGAGCTGAAAAGGGCAAGGAATGGGGGCAGAGGAATTCAAACTACCTGCGACCAGCAAGCAGGCCTGACTTCCACCCAACCACCTGCCTTTAGAGCTGGCTCACAACAAAATCAGCATTTCCTTTGCGGAGTCTCACATCCAAGGCTAGCCAGGGAGGAGGAGAGGTACGGTGCCAAACCATTTTGCTTATTGACAAGAAAAATCCGCCAGTTCCTTGCAGTAATAGTAATAAAAAGGTAGCTAGCAGCGATGCGGCTATTCCATCACTTTGAAACTGATGCTCAGGATGTGGTATTACTTTTTGCCTTTATTTATTTCCAAGCATTATTGCTTGGCAGGCAAATCTCTTGGACCGTGATGTGTACCCATCCTTCCAGCATCTAGGTTTTCACAGTGATATTAATACTCAAGAATACTGGAACAGACCTAAGATAAACGTCCCCCTGTCCTCTTTGCTGGGTCCTACACATCGGCTACTGCGTTGTATGGATGAAGAAATGCTCAGTCTTCCACAATCGGGTGGAGAACAGCTGAGGGAGCCCTCACAGTGAAATGCTGAGAGCTCGCTGTATAGAGACAGGAGGGGCTATAAATCAAAGCTGCTGTGAGCCGCCTGATATCCTGGGCCACACACTGTTTGACTTTGCACCTGCAGCCCTGTGCTGCCCGGTGGCTGGGTCGGTGCAGCATTAATTAGGCCAGGATGAAGAGGTGCAGGTCGAATCGGAGGGGAGCTGGTGCTCCATCCTGAGAGGAACAGCCAGCTCTGCTGCTGGGCACGCTCCCAGCGACCCAGGTGCCCTACCTCCAACACTCACCGTGCTCCCCCCCGGCTGCTCGCAGAGGACAGGGAGGTGTTCATCAGGGAGATGCTGCAATTTAGCCCTCCCAGGAATCAGTCCTGTGCACCCATGCAGGGACAACGGGGTGTTTAAAGCTGAAACAGCCGAAGAATATATTCAAGAACCTTTGATAAAAGCTACAATTTTATGCACCACGGAGCATCCATCAAGGAAATGCACGGAGCTAGTGCCACAAAATAATTACATGTGCAGAGTCCTTTGTAAACACAGCTTTTATGTGCATCAGCACAGCTGGGGACAGTGTTTAAAAATACAATTATGTAATGCATTTTGTGTAGTCCGTGAGCCATTCAAGTGATACCATCGGTTCAGCAAAATTACATGCAGCAGTTCTGTATCTATTGGCCCAAGCAAAGAAACATTTTTCAGGAGCATTATTTTTTTTTTCTCCTGCTATGAAATAGATTTGTCTCTGATGCCTACGGGGAATTTGTGTCTCTGTCATTGGCCACTTTCTCTCCTCCTTTCACCAATGAAGGAGAAAGAAATGGGGAGTTATTTTTGGCCTTGCAACAGACTCCAGCATCTAAATCAGTTAGTTCTGAAACCACTTGGGGTGGTGTTGGTTCTCTTTTAATGGCTTTACAGAGGAGGAATTTGCGATGTTTGACTGCTAGCACAAGGAAACAAAGCAGCTGTTGTTGGATAGAAGGGTAAAGCAAGGTTAAGACACTCTGTAATGAAGCAGGGCCCAGCCTTTAACACCAAGGGTGCAGCAAGTGATGAGCCCTGGCCAGCACAGCACAGCAGAGGCTATTACTAAACCACACGCAGGCTACAGGATGGTGGGTGATCTCTATTAAAATGCACACAGAAAACAGGCTTACAGCTATGCTTATTTCTGACACCCACCCTCTACCCCTGTTTATTTCATCCTTGTAATGCTTATAAAATATCAGCTGCAGAAAACATACAGGAAGCTTTGCTTTCCTCCTCGTTTAACCTGATGTTGCAGCTGAGCTGAGATGATGCAACAGCAAAATTTCTGAGACAATACTTACCCACTGCTGCTAAATGGTAGTGGCACCATGCACAGATATTTATCTGAGACTAAAATAGAGCTTTATAGATACTATTTAAAGGCCATTTTAAAGTCTTAAAGCTTTCATTGCAATATTTACAATAGTTTATGCGTCTTGGCCAAATCCCACCTGGAAAATTAAATCTGACCTACCAAAAACTTTGCAAGAGATCCAGCACTTGGCTTTTGCATTTAAAGAGACCATTAAAGAAATCTGTACCTAGTTTCATAATATGAGATCCACAGGTGGGAGTAGCGAGATAGCTGCTTCTGTTCAGGAGCTGCTTGGCACAGAAATAAGACTTGATGCTAATTTCTAAAAGTGGGATCTGATATCTGAAAAGAGATTCCCTCTTCTCTGTTAGCTGCTGGGCCAGTTGTAGTGTATGGGATACCACAAAAAGGAGAGTGTGGACCAAATCCAGGTGTCTGCATCCCTGCATGTGTGCTAGGGTCATTGAGAAAGAGAGAGAGCTCCTCACTCACTCTCTCTCTTCCTCCCTAAGAATATTGTATTTCTTTTTGCTTAGTGGTACAGCACTGATTAGAAGACAGAAGATACCACAGCCAGAAGAGTCCATCACCTGTTATGGCATGGCAGAGCCTAGTGAAACAGGAGCTGTGCATTGGGATCTCGTTAGGACAATCTGTGATGTTTAGCAGGACAGTGCTGTGTCCAAAAGATGGGCATGGACGCGATCCAGCCACATTGTTAAAAGGAGGCAAATACTACAGCACCGCTTGAAAAACATCCGAATTGCCATATATTTGATTCCAGACCTACTAAACTATTCAGGTCTTTCCTTCCCCACCAAAATCCCTGTAAGATACATTTTGTAGATGCAGCTCTTTGTGCTCTCTCTGGTACAGCCTGCATATATTATCTAGATAAAGACTTACGCAGTGCATGCCACCTCAGCTGAGGATTTACAAGGGAAGTGAGACAGCTATCACTCCTTTGCCTCCATTGCACAGACTGCTGGCATGTAGGTATGCTGGCGACCATATTTCATGTCAGCTTACACAAGGAAGATGGGTCTTTGCATTCACATTTACAGATATATGTGTAGGGCATGGATACTGAGCAGAATTTTTATATATTATTAGGAAAGCTTGGCCTTGGGGAGATCTAAGCAGATAAACAGCGTCTATAATTAAACTTGAGGAAAAGCAATGTTCTGCTTTTCTGAAGTAGCACACAGTAACATTTTTGTTTTGTTTTTTTGAGAGAGAAATTTATCAACTTGAACAATTGCCTCTTCGCAGCACAAAGTATATGGTGCAGTCAAAATGAAACTGTTATTGCCTCCTACCATGCAGACAAATGGAAGGGATAAACAAACAGTACTTCTAAATTAACTTGCTAAGCGGAATTGGTCAATAACCTGCTAAGAAATATTTTGGGGTGTGGTATCACCATTGAATGTGAGAGTTTTGTGTTTTGATGTTGTTGTTTTCTTCCTGTAAGATGCAACATTTTATACTGTCATGGTAATTTGCAATTGTCAGTTTAAATGTGCTTGCTTCTTGAACAGGACACACTTACCCCCATTCCTGGGAACAGTGAGCTGGATTTTTGCACATTGTTGAGCAAATACCCTCGTAGGGTTATATGCCTGCAGCTTGTTTGTGCAGAAGGCAATACCTGTGAAAGTCCAGCTCAGGATGTGTTGCACCAACAGGTTAAAACCAAATTCTTCTTTGTGTGTTTTATCCAATCCAACTAGAATGGTATATCTGTAAACTGACTTGAAAGATTTACACTCTTGGACTCTAAAATGCTATATTTACTACGTTTCAAAGGAAACCTGTTAAGTAGAGTACTGTCAGCAGATGAGACATGGGGAAGAGGCAGGCATGGACAGGCACTGTGACTTCCTCAGGATCACATAACAGATTTGTAGAGGAATTCACAGCAGAGCCCCTGACTTGTGTGCCACACATTGCTAACTGCTTCTCGGGTCCAAATTGCTTGCAGTCTGCCTTTCTGTAGAAACATCACAATGTTGCTCTGCCACAGGAGCAGCAACGAACACGTTCATCGGACACTTGTTAAACAGATATGTTTTAAAAATCTTAACTCAAAAAATTAATTGGAAGGATATGTCCTATCCAAGTGCATTCAGCGCAAAAATCATGGATTAAATGCTAGTGGAAAAATTTGATCAAGGAAAACACTTTCCAATTGAACCTACTTTATATGGCCAGAGGGAACTTTCAAAAATAAGTCTAAATAATTTATTTCAGCATCCACTGGGTGAAGCTGGGGTGTGAATTTTGAGGTAGAAATGTGCAGGCATCACATTGACGTCCTAGAAACAGAGGAACAATGCCACTTCTACCTTTACCAGAGAAAGGAGGACACCAGCATTAACATTTAGCATGGGAAAAATAAAAATTAAAATTAAAAAACTGGGGAATCCACTGTGTCTGCAGATATTCCCAAGCAGCCACAATGAGGTTAGCGCTAGGTATATTTATTAGTTAGCAGAATTACGTAGCTGTATCTAAAACTCTCATTACTTTAAACCAATCAATCATACTTAAAATATGGTACATATGTGAAACTGCTACCTCTTCCAAAACTGACAACTGCCTTGGCATGGCAGAGTAAGTAATACTGCAGGGTAAACAGTGGGATTTAGTCACATGTTCAAAAGAACATTGTAAGAAGAGCCATCAACCTCATGACCTTAAATTCCTACAATACTCTTCCTTTAATCCCTCATACTAATGTTATTTATCTGGTGTTTATTAAGGATTCAATTTAAATGTGGTTTCTAGTTTCAGGTGCCTTACTGAAGCCACCCAACTGTTAGAGATACTGCACAGCAAACTTCAGCTGAAATAATGAAAGCAATGGGCAATATGAACATAATCCCATCTCATTTTCCCACCATTCCCAGTCTCCCAAACACCACTGCTCAGCCCACATACATACTCGAGCTGTATTTCCTTTAAAAGTGGGGAGTGAGGGAAGCACTGGATATTTGGGGAACTTACATCAAGATACATTTTTAAGGTAAGAAGATATCAGCATATGGATTTCACGAAGGAATAACACTGACCAAAATGCCATAGCAAGTCCAAATAGTTACGCAGAATAAGAAATATGAAACTGAAGCCCAACTTGTAACCACATCTTGGTGCCCTGCAGTTGCAGGTACTAGTTTTCTTCGCAGTCCAAATTCTCATGTACTTCCCTGACCATAAAATGGAAAGTTGAGAACATGACCATCTTGACTGGCAGACAGAACAGGTGGATGGCAGATTTGAACTACTCAGAAACTACAAAAGAGACTCAGCCTTTGGAACAGGAGGTGCTAGTCAGCTTCTTCCATGATGATCCTCCAAAACATCTGATCATCAGGATGTTTCCTACTACACACAACAACACGAGAAGTGGTGCTGTGTCCTCATCAACAAGGGCAACAACAAGACAGTCATTTTTAAAGAGAAGGTGATAATAAACTTCTACTAGGCATCATCACCTAAGAGTACTGGGGATGTTTCTTTCCACCATGGGAAGCGTATAGGTACATGTGGAAGGAGGTCCACAGGATATGATGGCAGGTTCCTAGGAGTTTTTAAGACTGTTGGCCTAGACCTAGACACAGTCTTGAGTATCCTCTCAACTGGCACATGCAGTTATAGATTCACAGAGTTTAAGACAAGCAAGGAGTATTACAATCACCTGTTCTAGTCTCCTACATATCACTAACCTGTTAATTTCACTTAGGAATCCTGCACAGAGCTAAATAACTACCTATTTAACTAAATAGTTGGCTACAATGCATCTTTTGAAAAGTTATTCAGTCTTATCTTAAGGAGAGTATATGAAGTGTCATTCCTTAGGAGGTTTTTCTTTTCCAATATATGATGGCAAAATTTCTCATTTGAGCTTGGCTTCGCCTCAATTTCCAGATGGCTGAGCTGTTCACCACTTTGCCACACATTCTCCTGTGCTATTCAATTTAATTTGTGTGTGTGTGTGTGTGTGTGTGTGTGTGTGTGTGTGAGACCAATACAGTATTACCATGAAAGTACTGTATATTAAGCAAATCAACTCTTGGTCTTCCTGATGAGACTAAATAGGCAGAGCTCTAAGCTGCTCCAATAGATTCCAGGACTCAGATTTGTTTGTGACTGTCTACACAGCCTTTAGTAATGCCTAGGCAACTAATGTCTCAGTCATAAACATTCAACACAGTAAGTAAAAAAAAAATAAATAAATAAATAAAATTAAAAAAAATTGAAATAGAAAAGGAAGATAGGAGGAAAAAGAGCGCATTCCCTAATCAGCAAATCTGCAACACAACAGATGACAGCATTCAGGTCTAGGCTTGTTTCCTTAAGTTCAAACCGTACCTCCTAGCACCGTTGGAATGAAGAATTAGGGAAATAGCATTTCTGAGGCTGAACAAAGCTTTTAGACCCCTCGCACTGTCTACAGGACTGCTCGGCCACTTCACAGGACAGTGCTCGGACTACGTCCGTGACCAAGGCAGCGCAGGGAGTACAGACAGGCCAGCGTTGCCCTGTCTGGAGGGGTGGCTGCGGCGGCACTCTGCAGCCTGCTGCCAAGAGCAAACTGGGACCGCTTCCACCCAGTCCTTCCGTAGGTCATCTGTTTTGACCTGGAACAGAGCACTGATATTTGGGCTTCAGGCCGTGGCTATTCAAAGGACTGAGTTCATGTTTGCTAAGCTGTTAATTACTGTCCAGGACTTAGTGTAATACCAATGACACAGCAGGAAGTATACCAGAGTCTCCACTTTGCTGTTCTCCACCAGTACCAAGGGGACTGTAAACCACTTCTTACCTCATGTCTGGTTCTAAAAATGATCAGATCAGAGTTTCAAGAAGGAACAATCCTAGGAATGGCATATAGTTAGAAGAGAGGCAATTTCCAATTACTATACTGGGTAAAAGCCAGAGACCAGATTCAATTACCTTGCACTTTGCAGTTTACAATCTGTTGGTGCTCATTCTAGCAGAGGCTTGTTAAATGCTTGCTGGAGGCCTTCAAAATACACTTACCTGCTGAAAAAGAAGAGGTTCTCAGTCCAGAACCTCACCATCACATAAGCCATCAAAACCCAGGCCAGACCCGAGCCTCCAATCAGAAACTCCACTTAAGCAAGAGTGGCACGCGGCTGAGATTTGGCCCCATAAAGAAACCTCACGGGCTACTGAGCAATATCAGTGTGAGCTCAGATTTGAAATGTGAATTCATCAGAATACAGAAATCTGTCACTCAGATACCAACAGGTACACTGACCTACTACTAACATGTTTCTAAATCCAGAGTTTGAATGTCCTTCTTCAATTTTCCTCTTTTCAGTATCAGGATTTCCTACCCTCACGGCATAGTTGCTGTGGCACATCAGATCTCCAGAACTAGTAATGGGTGTGTGGCAAAGGTGCTTGTTCTAATGTTTCCTAGAGCACAACCAAGTAGATTGTTATTGGGAACACTCCCAAACGAGTTGGGAAATCCAGAGGACCACAAAGGCAGCAAGATTCCCAGGCAGGTATCCTTTACAAGTTTCTACTCACAGCTGCAAAACAAATTATCCTTTAGGTATACTTAAAAAAACAAACAAACAAACAAAAAAAAACACAGCAGTGCTTCTTTTTGACCTTCTCTAGAAAGCCATACAGCAGTGATGCATGAACTGAAAACACAAATATAGGGTTCCAAAGAAGCCATGGCTTAGGCAAAACACACGGTGACTCCTGACGTGTTACAACAAAGTAGATTCAATGCATAGCATTATGAGGGATAGCAAAAATAAATAAATAAATTAAAAAAAAATTGCAGGATATTTACATTTTTAAACTCATCCCAGAACTGAGTTCAACCCACGCACAGATTTATTTCTTCCCCTCCTCTTGCACATCTACTTGCATGGACCTTGTCAAACACCAGAAAATGTTGGTGTTCTCCTCCTCTGCTTCAGCTTCAGAAACAGCAGCATGCAACTCGTAGTATATAAAGACGAGACTAATTTTCCAACAAGAAAATCAGCAGAATCAAGAGATCATCTTACAAGGCAGATCAAAGTGATCTAAAAAATTGTTTAGGGGACTGGACAACAACAAGAGTTATTTCCATTAAATCTTGGCTATTAACAATGGAATAGTGTGAAATTAGCACATGCCTGGATGGGCCATTGATCTTATATTGTGGATATTTAACCTACTGTGTAATGGTGCAGCATACCATGAAAAAACGCAGTTCAAAGTGGGCAGCTGCCACCATGGATTTAGGTTTCCTCCTCAGATACATTTATTTATTTATTTATTTATTTTTGTGTTGAGTTTATATCTACTTCCTTTAAACTTCGTGACCTCTTTGCGCTTCTTTCTGCAGTTCCTTTTTTTAACCTTGCCTTACCAAGTGTTAGTGAAGTTTCTGTTTTGTTTTGGGGTGTGGTGGAAGCCAAAGATACTTATCTGCTATTGTTCCTGGTAATAACGAACCCCTTACCGTAACACAGGCTGAAGGGGCTTCGGATAATCAGAGCAATTTCAGGGGGAAGCATGTAGTCCAGCTCAGGTTGCAAGAGTTACTCCAAAGTCACCGGAGGAACCAGGTCATATAGCAGACGGCAATCTAAAACCCAGATTTGAACAGGTGTCAGCTGACCCTCCTGCCATGAAAAGTGATCAGAAGCAGCACCCGGGGAGGATGGACAGGAACGTGTCTGGGACGAGCTGCAAGTGTGAGGGCCACGGCGCTGTTGGCTGCCCACAGAGTGCAGAAGGATGCAGCGAGGAGCGGGACCGCTCACTCTTACCTCTCCAGGCCCTGGGGAGCACCGCTGGGGCACTCAGGCAGCATCCCAGAAGAGATTTGTCCCTAAACAGTGGAGCCGAGGAAGATCCGAAGAGGAGAAGTCGACTTGGGTAGCCTTGAGGAAAATCCCAAGGCAGTCCTGAGGTGGAATGAGGGAAAGCAAGGCGTCGGGCCATCTCAGAACCGTGGCAGCCGCGTTATCCTTCGAAATGGAAGCCACGTGCGGCTTGGATGCGGGCTAAATCGGACCTTCTGAGCTACGAGTGTCATTGGGGAAAGGAGCCAAAGGGAGCTTCGAAGCTGCGTGTTTTCAGCTAAACAAACTAAATGTTAACAGAAGGCACTGACACGAAGTTGGCGCTCAGAAGGAAGAACTTTCCCTTCCTCCCCCCGGCGAGGCAGCGGGCCAAGCCGAGAGCCGATGATCGAAGGTCAGGCCCCGCTCCTGAGCCTCGCTGCTTACCAGGATCCCTGGCTGGAAACAAATGCTTTCGCACGACACTTGCGCACGTTTGTAAGGGTTGCTGAAAGCTCCCTTTCGCTGTGCACGGAGGCAACACGGGCCGGGATCTGGGCAGCATCAGCATGCCAGCTATTCTGAGAGGCAGCCTGTCAATACCCCACTGCTGGCAGCAGGGCCCTCGCGCTGCCCTCCCGCACGGTGAGGGGGCCAGGGCAGGGACGCGAGCACTGCTACCACTGGCACCGTGCTAGGTTTTTGGGGTAGGCCGGGAGCTTTCGCTTCCAGGATTATCAGCTTGGCACCACTATCAGAACCCTGTATTTACGTGTAATAACATGCTTCCAGACTTGCTTCAGAAAAACAGGAGCTTCTGCAGGTGAAAAGGCTGCTACCACTGAGCTTTGAAGGGTAGCTTTTACCAGCCTTCCCCAAGTGCCCCTCCTGTCAGTCGTGGAGCCCTGCCTACCCACACTCCCCGGAAAGTTACCATCTCCTCGCTTGCTCTGAAAACTATTATTTGTAGCACTTAGAGGAGATCATGCAACTGGGGTCACCGAAATAATTATTTATACTTTGGGAAGGAAACATCGCAGCATTTCACATTTCCTGCACAGAAGACCCGTTGGTTTTTCTCAGTTTGGATCTTGGCTACAAACTGCATTCCAGTTTTTGACCTTGAGCTGCCAGGAAGTAGTGTCCGGACTAGACAATAAGGAAGAAACTCAAATACTATTTGAGTATGTGTGTGCTTTTGAGGAGAAGGTCCTAGGCCCACTGATAAAAGAAAGCCCCCAGTGCCCATGGGGGAGTTTCTGCTTCCGCCAAAAGCTTGCTGCCTTGCTAGGAACAAGCACTTTCTTCACTGCTTATTAAAGTTACTTAAGGAAAGAACTAGAAGAAATACTTAAAGATCTGCCTAAAAGGCACCATACTGGTTAAGAGAAAGGCAGGGAACTGGATATTTGTTTTGGACCCTGATACTGTGCCTGGCAGCTCAATGCTGCTGTGTCACATGTACACACCACCGCGCTTGGTAGAAAAATTACAAGAATTTAGCAAGGGAAGTGGCAAACCCATACATCTAATACAGGTGGGCTAAAACAAAGCCTGAAGGGGAAACGACAGATGATATATCCAAACATTGACTGTTAATGAAAACAATCAGTTAATGACTGTTAATGAAAAACTTTTATCATTGAGCTAAACAGTGGTTGGGAGTGAACGTTAACCAAACTTAAGTGTCAAACTGAGAAATGAAGCTGTATTTTTTCAATGAATGAAATTAACTTGGGAGAGGGTTGGCACAAAGTCTAAGCAGAAATAAAGATCCACTTCAATCCATAAAATAGGCCTTAAGACATAGGCTTCTCTCTTCAGCAGGGCTCATTTTGTCCTTCAACAGGCAGAGAAAGGAAAGGAAGGGAACAGAGGAAACCAATGCAACAGCTTCAGAAAAAATAAAATAAACCTAACAAGTTGGAAAATAGCAGCTCAGCATGCTTTGTGGGTTTTCTTCCCCCTTTTAAATTATTGCAGCATTTATTCCTCCACAGTGTATTCAAGTTCCTTGTGTCCTCATCACTTCAGAAAGGAATTTGAGAGCAGAGTGGGAGTGAACAGCTAAGTATATGATTTGGATTACCTGCGGCTTTCTCCAAAAATGCAGATTTGTCTCTATATCAGCTGATTTTGGAGATGTGCCAGCTAAGTAGGTAACACATACAAGAAAGTCAGTAGCCCCATTCTTTTCTTCTTAGCAATTACCTCTTCCAGTTGGGAGCAAAAAAAAATTTTTTTTTGAGGCTTTGTCATATTGCCAAAACATGTTCAAACACAGAACTGCTTGTTATGCAGCAAATAATCCTCGCTTCATGCAGTGGCTAAGACCCTACAGTGACAGATCTCTGCACAGGGCACTTCCACACTTGTGCAGAACTTCCTGACTTCACTGGGGCTCTGCAGAGATGTGGAGCTCACTGCACTCAGGAGCCACATCAGCAAAACACATCAATAAAAGTTTGCAGGCTACCAATAAATGACAGATTTCTATGTGCCTTCCTTGCCTAAGCAATGCCAGTGCAGAAAAACTGAAATGCACGGGGCAAAGTTTGCTTTCCTGCTCCCTATCAGGGCAAGGAAAAACAGGCTTTCACTTGCTGCTCTTCTCTCAGGTCTACCTGTTCCCGGTGACCTTGAGGAGTGCATAGTGCAGTTCAGCTTTCTTGAATCACCTGGTTTCCATGTGAAGTTTAACCTCATTATCAGACTCTCTCATTGTCACTCTCAAAAAAGGGCCCTTGAAATCCACAGGCTATAAGTTAATCAGTGCTGCAACTCCCACAGAGTACTTAGTTCTGAAACAAAGATGACTTTTTTTTTTTTTTTTTGCAAGTTTGTCACATTTTATTCTGCAGATTTAAAAATTAAGCCATCATGCATACCAAATTCATCCACTTGTTATTTTGCATGTAAGTCTTGATTTCACTAGTTGTTCAGTATTCGGTACTCATTTTGTGCTCAGAGATGAAAACCCCAGCCAGAGTCAGGTCCTGCTGAAAGCTCTGACTCATTCTCATATTTCTTTTTGCTCTAGGGCTTTTCTTTCTTCCTAACCTTTATATTCTTTCTCTTTAAGAAAGACAATGAAAAAACTCTTTTTCCCCCATTTACTGATGCTAGTGAGAGTAATGGCTTTTGTTCATAGTCTTTATATAGCAACATCACTATTCTCCTCCAGGTTTTTTTTATGAAATAGCACACTTCATCTCATCAGTAGTCACCAAAGTCAGTTGAAACAATTCCATGGATTCCAACAGGCATTGCAATAAGCCCTTACAAAAACCAACTTGTGTAGTTTTACTGAAATCTGTACTTTATATTAGGTGATCTTTTTTGAGTAAAGGTTTTAATATTCAGATCTATTATCTAGGTTACAGAATAACCCATAGGCCTGCAGCTGCCAAAGTGAAAGTAAATGGAAACATTCATTGATATCACACACATATCTCACATGAGAGCTCTATTTTGTCCCATCTTCTGCAACCGGGATGGGAAAGTGTTTGCCAGGTTCAGGAAACCAGTGACCACCACCAAAAGTCTTTAAGCACATTCAACTAACCCAGTGGGTAGCCAGTCAGGAGGCAAAGGAGAAGACAGTCCCCTGTAGCAGTGGCTGTTGTAGGCTCTGGTCCTTCCTAACCTCTTTCAGATGCACCAACAGCCCTCCAGAGTTATGTGATGGCTCAAATTTGTTCTTAATTGCCTGTTACTCTGTCCTAAGGACAATCACAGTATTTCAGCTAGTGTTCTAGAAGTACGAGGCTCACGTGAGGTTTGTATCAGATGAAAGCTCCTGGAAGAGGCTCTTTTATTACAAAATACCTCAGCAGTGAATCAGCATTTCAAGGTAAGTCACTTTTTGTTTTTGAAAGCAACTTACACATTACATCATAAAAGCACTTTTGTGCCCACTGATCTTACCATAACTTTGGATATATCACATAGCAGTGAGCACAGAGTGAGGGGACTACACCTGCTGGAGTTGGTAACACATAGCCTGCTACTACTACACCAAATGGAGATAAGTTTTCCTCGAGCAGAGGATTATTCAGATTTATTCTTACCACATCCTTTTACAATACGGTCATGACCCAACTAAGGTGACTTAATGTTGGTCTACAGCTTCCAGAACCAAAATCCAAGCAAAAGAAAAAATAAAAATCTCACTAACCTCATTTTCCCTCCTTGATCCCTTTACCTCCCTCCTGGCAAGAAAAACAGCCTCGGATTCTTTGGAGGCAGCATTACACAGCCCCCAGGAGCCAGCTTCGAAAGCAGCAGGCTCACCACCCCGACTTCATGCTGAGCCCAAAGTCTCTTCCCAGAACTTCTACTTTTGGGTCCTTTCACAAAATGGCCTTACTTCCTTAACAGAGCACTTGCTGCAGATCTCCATTCCTAATCCGCACAGGTATCTCCTAACAAGCCCATTCCCCTTCTCATGTGAGTTTGTTGGCTCCCCTCATCTAAAGTAAATACAACAGTAGGTTCAACCCCATACGCTGAAGGGTCAGGCTCACCTTATGACATGACTGAAGGCAGATCTGCGCACAGGTAGATTTGGCCCCTCGTCATCAATCTTTCATTTCACCTGAGCTTCTGGGGCACGAGCTGCAGCTCAGCAAAGCAGACAGACGCGTTTAACTTGATACAGAACAG